GGAAAGAGATAGAGAGATTTTAGTTTAAGAGTAGGGGACTTCCTAAAGGCAGCATTTCAGGGGAGTCTCAGAAGAGTCGGGACGCTAGAACTTGAAAGCCAAGCCAGTGGGACTCAGGCAGCCTTCACACAGCCACTCGACTCAGCCCCTCTCTCTGCATATCCGCTTCGTTCTTCCTCTGCAGCTTGCTCTTCTCAACTGCTCAATTCGCGGTGGGAGGGGCCTCGCCATATCTCCCTAGTACTTATGTATCCTCCATTCAGGAGACCTGTACAAATGGAACCGGTCTCACATTCCTTGGAAATTTCTGCTTAGCCATGTCAGGCCATGTGCCTCTGTGCCATCAGCCGTGGGCGAGCTGGGAACTGAGGACTGCGCGCGGGCACCGCCCTGTCACTTTTTGTGTCTGCACCGAAAGCTTAGACTTGGAAGCACTAAGACGTGTTTGCCAAAGGCTGGAGTTTTGATGTGGAGTGGAGAACTAGCTGTTACTTTGAGTGGGAGAAAAACACCTTTCATTTCTTTAGGAAAAAGTAATGCAACTGCGGTTTCTCACTTCTGATCTTCTGGAGAGCAGATGTTCCTTGAGGAATGGCTGGTCCAGAGGCGACATATTTAAGTTCGCAAACACCACACATCGAGATGTCAGACATTTCAGGATCGCTAAAGAAAACCACCAAATTAAACAGCCAACTTTCCCTCTTAGTTTTGTCATGGAGACTCTTTTAAATTAACTTGGCTGCCGGCAGCGGCAGCGGGGCTGGCTCATTTGCCAGTCGCCAGCATGGGGGAAAGGGGTAGAGGTGTGACTGGGGTTGGTGAGAGGAGGGGGTGAAAAGAGGGAGTGGCACACGGGGAAGCCTCCCTCCCTCCCGGGACAGGCAGGAAACTGCTCCCATGGGCCTCACACGCTTCTGCTCAACCGCCTCCCAAGTAGCAAAACTCTGCCCATACACTGAAGGGGAAGCGCACCTCTCTGGCAGATGGGTGGTTATCTCCTGCAGATGCAGCCTCCAGGAAGAGGAGAAGACAGCCATAGGTAAATGAATGGAAAGGACTTCTTTGGATTAGAATGAGTGGCGCCTGGGTTTAAATGACGCGCTTTGGGCTGGGTAAATTGCTTTTCTTAGCCTTATGACCTGCTTATCATTTCCGCACGCTGTAGTTTTTAAAACCTGGTGGGGGCTGGACGTCAGGGGAGGATGTGGCAGAGAGAAGGGAAGTGAAGCATCAAACAGCTATGTCCTACCTCCAGTATGAATAAGATGATATTCAGCTTTGTATTTTTAGCAGGGGTCGGGAAACGGGGAATCTTTGATGTGGAGTTCGAAGAGCTGCTTCTGGAGGATGAGGGTGAGACGTTTGGGATGATCCCTTTAAATGTGATCTTCACGAAGCAGCAGCAGCAGCTGGCCCGCCACACAAACAGCAAAGCGCCACTTCCTCTTTTGGGGGACTCCAAATGCCAGTGACCTGGAAGAGAAACTGAGGTCCAGAGAGTTGCAGTGACTTGTCTCCTGTTGCTCAGCCATCGAGCCAGGGAGGAGTGGGCCCAGCCCGGGTCACCTGGCATCTAGTTTAAGGGTTTTGTCTGTGTGATTGGTTTGGCTTCGAATATCACTTTCTACTCCAGTACTTGGAAGTGTTCCATAAATGCCCTGCTATGTGAAGCTCTTTCTTAAAATAGGAAAAGGATAAACTTATCTGAAGGGATGGGAGGACCTTGGGAAGAGAACTGGGCATAATTACAAGTCACCCTGGTTTCACTAGTTCAAGCAGGCAGATGGCGGGTAGAACTGAAGCCAGACAATTTGCACTTACCAAATTAGCACCCGTCTGTTAGTCTACAGAAATGGGAAAAAAAATGGGCATCTCTCTTTTCACCATATAAGGTAAATAAAAACCAGTGTTCACGGAGCGTTGGCCCTACAGGATGCAGAGGCAATGTTATCCCAGCTGCCCCTGCGCTGGCCACATGCCTCCCCCTTCCACTGCTAGTGGGAGGCAGCCCAGAGTGATGGCAAAAGCTTAGAAGGTGGAGTTTCAGACAGTCATAGGTTCAAATCCCAGCTCTGGTACTTACCACAGCTAGCGTGGCCTTGGGTAACTTAATCCCCAGGGAGGCTGTTTGCTCACCTATAAAAGAGGGATAATAATCTCTATCAATCTAATGAAGTAAATAGAAGCAAAATGCGCAGGGCTTAGTAGGCCTCTTCTACTGACCCCATCTAGTCTTCACCTATGCATGACAGTGGTCACACAAATAGTGGCCAAGGAGCATAGCTGGCCCAGGGCAAATGCCTTCTCATTCCAGGACATCTCCACAAACCACGTGTTGTTGTGTCAGTTTCATGTGAAGGAAGGATAGTGGTTTTATACTCAGAGCTTATAGTCACATTGTAGAGCATCTCACTTACTTCGAGGGGACTCGTTGGCACAGTTTTGAAATAGGCAGTTTGTCATTCACCATCCCTTCCATCAGCCATTACTGCATCCGCCTGCTTTCTGGAGAGATGGCCTTGACTTCAAAATCTAGAAAGGAAAATAGATATTTAGACAAATAATTATGACAAAACTTTTAAAATGTTATCGTCAAAGTGCGATGAATTCACGAGAAGAAAGGCGTTGGGGTGTGTCACTTATGTGGACACTGAGCTGGACCTTTAGTGGGGATGGGATTTTGTCAGGTAGCCAATGGGGCGGGAGGGACACCATGTGAGCAAGGCCTCAAGGTGCAGCAGTGCCTGGCTCTCCCAGGTAGCAGTGAGCAGGGCAGGGTAACAAGTGTCGAGCCCACCCGAGGGTGTCAGTTGTGAGCTGCTGAGTGAAGCCTGGTCTGACCCAGAACATGGGCCTGGGGACAAGAGGGTTGTTAGTCAGTGGACTGAGTGACTTCTGCAGGTTTGCACTTTGGGAAGATCAGTTTGGTTGCACTGGGAGGAAGGGAGCATGAGAGGCAGGAGTGGAGGCGGGGAGACCAGTTTTTAGGCTATTGCAAAAGCCAGGAGGGCCTGAATCAGGGTAGAGGGGCAGATTTAAGTCATAATGAAAAGAGAAACTGTGTAGCCTTAGTGATGATTGGACATGGAGGAAGAGTGACAGGAGGCCAAGGATGATTACCTATTGCTTTCATATTTAATTAGAATCTTGAACCAATTTTCTCTTAAGCACTTAAATTATAATTCATGCCTTTCTTCTTTGCCATTAGACTAGGTGTTCCTTGTGTACAGACACTATTTCTTATTTGTTCCACCTGTACCCCTCATGCTAATACAGAATAGGGTTCCAATAACCTTAGAATTAGTATATTGATAAATGAAGTAATAAATGAATGAATGAATGAACTTTCAT